GTCAAACAACCTCTATACAACGAAAGGAGACTGCGACCACACAAAAGGCCACACCATCTTGGTCTTCTTACCTAACCATTTGTAGATGAAAAAATCTTTTACGTCTTTCATCATGTCTTGCTACTTTCCGTGGATATGTAACCTAAATTTTCTTCTTCTCGATTTTGTCTCAAAAGCTTTGATTCTATGATGAGAAGTGCATTAATATGTTTTTTAAAAATGATTTTTTCTTATCATCAATGTGCTAGCATTCACCTTTAAAATAAATAGGAGCAGAGTAAAAACCTTCACACCAGAAACAGGAAGAATAAGCTTGAATAGTTCCTAGCCTGATTAAGGCTTTCACACTTCACATAAGCACATTACATAATCATACATTTTATTAGTTAGGCAAGGTAACAGATGCCATTACATTCACTCCCTTTTCATGCATTTATGTATGATGCTAGACATGAAATAATAAACTAAATAATGAGATGACTGATTAAGATCGTAATATTCGGTATAAGAAGTTTATTTCATTTGGTGACTCTGCGAAAAGTATGGATTCCCGCTTCTGGGATGCTTTCACGTTGGTGCAGACAAAAGTCGCAGGTCGGTGAGTCAAAGACTTATTTGCTCAATCCTACAATCTTTACGTCAAGGCAATCGTCCTCTTTCGGTTGCTGGGGCGAACAATTCTCCAATTATTTTCAACCAAATTTTCTCTCGTAATAAAAAGTAATATAGCGATATTCCAAAAGGGCTTTCTCATCCCAACTTGATGGTGTCTTCCAGCTCACTTAAGACCCGAAATAAGAAAATGTGGGTGACTATCTGACCTTGTTAGACCGCACGATAAGCATGAGTTTGAAAGCAAAACAAATCTAGTCTTCTTTGTAATCCTTTATGAATAGAAACTCGAGCATTTCCTGTGATACCAAACGATGATGATTCTCTTTAAGTTGGTCTTATTAACTAATTGTAATCTCACTTCTTGTCTCAACTTTTCTTCGTATTGCAGCTATCTTTCGCTAAAAGCCGGCAAGACCAAACAAAAATAGGCAAAATCTCCCTTAACTACGAGGTATTTCAGAGCGGAAACAAGACAAAAGAGCTAGTAAACGTTCAGAAATGTTGGCCCGATCGCTTTCGTTCCCGTATTTGATACCGGTTGCCTCGATTGGCCATTGCAGTTCGGGAGAGAGATCGCGATGCCCGGGACAACCAGGCCTTAGTCCAGCCTCGAGCCTCCTGCCCGCCTCTCTCCCTGTCGGCCTGGTGT